TACCTGCAATCCCAGAACATGAAAGGTGGATACAAGAGGATCATGAGTTCCAGACTAGCCTGTGCTATCCAGTGATACCCATTAAGTCCACAAGTAACAATCAGGTTGGAATTAGAAGCTCAGTGGCATATCAGTTTCTAGAACTTGATGGTGAAAAAAATCCAGACTAGTTTGGAAAAAATAGAACCACTGTGGGTGAACACTACTGAACAGCAGCATTAGGTATTTGGAAGCAAGAGGATTAGGAATTCAAGATCATTATCAGACTCATAGAAGAGCTAACACCATTATAGATTCATGAGGCCCTGATTGAACACAAGCAAAAAAAAAAATTGTTTTTAAATAAGTGACAGAAAGATACACAGATTGATGGATGCACGGACAGCTGGATGGATGGACAGACAGTGCTGGGTGTACTGGATCACATCTATAATCCCAGAATTTGTGATGCTGATGCAGGTTTGCAGCAAAACTACCAGTTGTAAGTGAAGGAGAAAGAAAAACATCCCATGATAAAAACAGATTTAAGGCCGGGCATGGTCGTGCACATCTGTAATCTCAGCACTTGGGGGGCAAAGGCAGGTGGATCTCTGTGAGTTCAAGGCCAGCCTGGTCTACAAAATTTGTTCCAGGCCAGCTAGGGGTACAGGGAGACCCTGTCTCAAAAACACCAAAAATAAAAATAAAAGTAAATAAATAAATAATAAATAAATAAATAAATAAATAACAGATTTAAAGAATTTATGTCCACAAAGCCAGTTCTGTTCCCAGCACCCACATGGTGGCCATTACAACTGTCCATTACTCCAGTTCCAGAAGATCAGATGCCCTCTTCTGACCTCCACAGGCATTCCACATCATGGGTCCACTTACATATATGCAGGTAATACACTACTGAACATTAAATATATATATATATTTTTTTTTAAAGATGAAAAAAGAATAAATAATTACAATTCCAGAATAAATATTCAAAATATATCTAAGAAAACAATACTACAGCAGCAACGTAACAAGAATTAATAAGCATTGGTTAATAATAACTCTCCAAATGAATGATCTCAACTTCCCAGTAAAAAGAAACAGACTGATTGGATTAGAGAAGTATTCATCAATTTGCTGGCTCCAACAAACACACCTCACCTACAATGGCCAACACCACATTAGGATAAAACAATGGAAAAAGCAATCAGAACTAAGAAACAAGCAGGTATTTCTATTCCAATATCTGAAAAAAACAGATTTCAAACTAAAACAAGTCAAAAAGGAATAGGGAAGGACATTTCATTCTCATTAAAGGAAAAAAAATCCACGAAGAAGATATTACAATCCTAAACATATATGCATCAAACACAGAATACTGATTTCATAAAAGAAATTTAAAAACATATGTTGACTCCAATACAGTGATAATGGGTGGCTTCAATACTCCACTGTCATCCATAGACAGGCCAGCCATATAAAAACTAAATGGAGAAACCCTGGATTGATATGACATTATAAATTAAATGGACCTAACAGATATTACAGAACATTCCACCCAAATATCAAAGAATACACTTTTCTTCTCAATAGTCCATGGAATTTTCTACACAATCCACCACATATTAGTACACAAGGCAAAAGTCTCCACAAATTTAGGAAAATATCATCCTATATTCTTTTTTTTCTCTTTTCTTATCCCCCCCCCCTTTTTTTGAGACAGGGTCTCCCTTGTAGGCCTAGCTGACCTGGAACTCACTATGTAAACCAGGCTGGCCTTGAACTCACAGAGATCTACCTGCCTCTACCTCCCCAGTGCTGGGATCACAGGTGTGCACCACCATGCCCAGCTCATCCTGTATTCTAATTACAAAGGAATAAAGGTAGATAACAACAGAAACAAGAAAAAGTAAAAAAAAAAATCATGGAAACTAAACAACACAGTACTGAATGAAATTGAGATCAAGGTAGAAATCAAGAAAGGAATTTTAAAATTCCTTGACATGAATGAAAATGAAAACACAACATACTAAATTGTATGGGATACAATGAAGGCAATCCTAAAAGGAAAATGTATCACAGTAATTGCCAGCATCAGAAAATTAGAGATATTTCATGCAAATAACTTAATTAGGAATCTATGAAAGAACCTTAGAAAACCAAGGACACATAAAGACAGTAGCCGGGAAGAGGTCATTAAAACCAAGGTTGAAATTAATGAAATAGAAACAAAGAAAACAATACAAATATCAATGAAACAGAGTTTTTTTTAAAAGATTGAGAGATATTTAACCAAATAAACCAAAAGAAAATGGGAATTCAAATAAATGAAAAGGGAAACATTACAACAGGCCTTAGGAAAATAGAGAAAGCCATAAGGACATACTTAAAATCTATATTCCATAAAACTGGAAAACATAAAAGAAATGGCTGTTTCTAAATATGTACAGACTACCAAAGTGAAATCTAAATGACATAATTTAAATAGACCCTTAACAACCAGGAAGGTAGATGTAGTTGTAGCTAAAATTCATTCTAGGAGGTGTAAACAATGTCACCCCCCCCTCCAGGGCTTACTTGTAGAGCAATGGGTGAGGGTTTACTGACAGAAGTGTGGGTTCTCCTCTACAAGAAGGCCACACTGGAAAGCCTTCAGCCAAGCATGGATGGCAACTGGCCCACAGATGCACAAAATGGCTCGTGCCCCTCCCCCATGGCTTCCTTAGCTTATATTCCCTTAGTCCCTCCCCATTGTGCAACTAAGAAAGATTGGTTGGTTGGAAGGCTTGGCTGACTGTCCATGCCCCTCCTTTCTTGAGGAGTGTAACTGTCAACAAGCTTAGTTGTAACGATCCTAGCAAGCAGGTGCATCCAAGCTTGGGAAGAAGGCATCTGTCCATGGTCTGTCTTTTGGAGGACAGTCCTATAGAACACACCACACTTTCATCAGGCTCTTATATTCTTTCCACTATCCTCTTCCACAAGAGTCCTTGAGTCTTGGAGGAGTGACACAGATATAGGAGGATCTTCCTTTCACTGTATCAAGATACTGAACCTTTGGGCCTTTATATTATCTGTTTTCAGGACATGGTTGATAGCCCATCTCAGTGGTATTCCTCCTACTATAAAAAGACAGATGAAAAAAAAAAAAAAAAAAAGCAGGAACATCAAAAGGACATAGACCAGTTCCATAATCTACGGGCGTAAACACAAATGTTTGGAAGGCACCTTAGCAGGTGCATTACATCCATCTAACAAAACAATTGCAGTGGCGTATAATTTCCACTGCCACCAGACGTTGGCCTGGCTTGCAGTACCACATGTGTGTTCCTCCCCAGGGAGTGGCCTTAAATTCAACTGGAAATTTGTCAGTTGTATAGATACTAGTTGTACCACTATTGCACCAGCAGGCACATCTTGCTTGGCATGTCAGACAGTACAGGACATAGGGTCTGTCATTAAGCACAACTTTTGGGGACAACTTTCTCCCAGCAATCTGCACAGGCATCTTCTGGCACTCTGAAGGCCAGCTACGTGACAGTGGGGCATTTACAACTTAGCCCTAGCTTGATTTCTCTCCTTTTCCCATGCTCACATCATGCAGTGTCTTTAGCAATAGGATCTTACTGTCTAGTTCCAGAATGCAACTGACATCAGTGGAAATACCTTTTACCTTTTGGGAGAAGGCTTTCAGGGCCTCCCTGGCCAACAGAGGAGGGCAACCCACCTCTGGCACTGGAATTTTCATTTAACAATTGTACAGTTTTGTACAGTAACATAGCTACTTATTCTTTAATATCTACAGACCCAGGCTGTTGTAGACTTTTCCCAATCGTCCTGGTGGATATCATTTGTGCCTTACCACACCATAAAGCTCCCAAGAACTTCACAGCTATACTGGCCTTTGTACCCTTTGTGAATCTATTTTCCATCCTTGTTTACTCAGGTGTACTTGATATCTTTCAAATGGTTTCCACATCTGCAAAAAACTCAGAGGTTAATACTATGTACTAAGTCAAACATAAACAAGCAACCCTGCTTCGGCATCACAAGTTCTAGGATTACAGGTGTGAGTCAGCACACTCAGCTCTGCCTGTCTTTCTGTCTGTCCATACATTTATCTGTTTTGGGGATGGGTTTTTTTGTGGTCAGACAGGACCTCATGAATCTACCCTGGTGTTAGCTCTTCTATGAGTCTGAAAATGACCTTGAATGCCTCATCCTCTTGCCTCCAAATATCTAGTTCTG